GGTGGTATGCATTTTTATTATAACTCATAAAACTGAATAACGATTCTCTAAGTAGAAGCAGACAAGTATTTCAATTCGACTGTGGTTGCATTAAAGATAAAGATATAGACAATTGTTCCTACAATTAAGGAAAACATGAAATCAAGAATACGTGCTATTTACGAATCGGTTACTCCATGTATGTTATCAGATGTGGGAGAGTGTATTTGTAAAATACTTAATAATTATTTTGAAGTCCAAGAACACCATTTTGTACATGATAAATTAATCCTGTTATTTATCGTTTACTTCACCTCCTTTGGTACACATTTGTCGCAAATGTGCACGTTTTAATTCGATACTACAGCCCTTTTATCTATAACAACGTGTGAAACACGTGGCAAGGAATTCAAGTTGAACATGAAAAGTACGAGTCAGGCATGTTTAAACATGCATAAAGGATTTTGTACCACTCTACCGTAATTAATATCGATATCCTTAGATAAAAACATGTTTATTATCAACACTCACGTCGATTGATAAATTTTATTTCAGTATCTCATGAAAAATTGCTACTGATTGTTAGAATAATCTCCGCATTAATTTTCATTCAAACAACGAATGTTGAGAATGTTTTCCATTCGCTTCCAAGCATTTATCGATGCGATAACAAAATGAGTTCAATTCTTCGACAAATATTTGTTGTGTTAATAGCGGCAGAAAGCTTATCCAATCTTTTACATTTCCACATAGGGGATCGCACGATGTCAAAGCAGAGCAATATGCAAACGATAATAAAGGGGAAAAACTGTAACAGAAATGAAATCAATATCTTCATTATTCGTTTAGAAAATAGCTTCAAACATTTTATACAGGACAGCCTATGTACACATATGATTGTTGAATGAAAATATCATTTGGGGCAATTCAAGTTTCAGTCTCCATAGTCTTGAGTAATGCATTATTAATAGTAATATACATAATGCAAAAAGGAATCAATCGTAATTGTATTTTAATACAAATTTTTTTACATCACTAAGGTTAATAGGAATCAAGAAGAAGTAACAATCTGTTCATTCTGTCATGTTAATCAAGTTGTTGAAAGTTAAGATTGATAATGTACAATGAAAAAAAAATGATATATTGTTTTCTCGTTCAATTGTAGGTGTCGATCGTCTTGCCAATTATATTTTTCATAATCTGTGCTTTTCTGGTGACTCTTCCCTGCTACGTATCACCATGGGAAGTTGGTGTTGGAGTGATAATCATCGTCTCCGGTATTCCAGTGTACTGGATCTTTATTCACTGGAAAAGGAAGCCTAAATGGCTCATTAGGGGGTCTCGTAAGTAACAGCCTAATTTAACATGTTGTGTTCTCGTTTACTTTCTATAGCCTGTATTAACACGTTTGCTTGATTTAAAAGGGAGAACCACATTACGATGCCTATTAAGTGTTCTTTCTCAAAACTTCTTCGTGATTTCTTTTCAAAGAGAAAAAATTAACTTAATGTTATGGTTTTTGTTACAGATAATTTCAACATGGTGTGCGCAAAACTATTCATGTGCGTGCAAGAGGAGAAAAGTGATTGATCATAAAGTGCCTTTCTATCCTAATGTATAGTTTTATACGAAATTTGAATAGTACGAACGTGTGATTCATCTGTTCACCAACTCGAGTGATTGTAAGCAGGTGACAATCGCGTTTTATCATTCAGAAAACAAATAATTATCTGGTCTCAACTGAACTGGCCACAACATTCCAATGAAATCTCTGTTGCTTCACGCAGATCTTAGAAATGAACGAATCGTGTGATAATAATCGAGCCGTATTTTTGTACCCAACGTATCTACAATGAACATAACAAATATTCGTTCAACGAATCATTTATGAAAAATCTTTGTATAGTTCAATTTATTAATCAATTTTCATAACTCAATTTGAACATTAAAACCCGGAGAAGTGGACGTCAATAAACAATTAATGAATATGCTATAAAAATTTTCATGAACAAGTGTAAGTAAATATGTGAGTAAATCGTTGAGGAGATCAACAATTATGTAAATATCAATGCCTCATCCATTACTGCGAGGAACTTCTTGCGAAACCATGAATATCATGGTAGAGTATCGCGTAGAAAAGATTTTATAAATTAACAAATTTGAAAAAAATCGTAGAATTTACGCAAGAGTATAAAAATACATCCACGGAATAATGGAATTTTTATAGATAGTAGAAAATTTAATATCTTCAGCTTTGATAGACGCTGTACTATATGGAGATAAAAAGTTTGTGGTGGTCCCATATATTATCAGTATAGCTGTATATGTATTAATGAACTCTCATATTCTGTTAAACAATATCGTAAAAGGTGCAAATATCTGAGTTTCTTTTGGTATTAAATTTATTCTAGATATTTCTCGAAATATGTATAAATTGCTTGTGTTATGAAAATTTATTAATAAACTAAGCTATACAATTGTTTTCTTAAATTATTTGTAAGAATACTTTTTATATTCATATATTATTAGTCGCAAAAGTCTACATACGTCTAATAAATTTAATTATTACTAACAATCCGAGGGAATTTCACTAATCCTATATTATGTAGATGTATGTAGACCTGTGTAACTGATTATATGTATAATTTTCATTGACTGCGTCAATTACAGAGCCTTCTATTTATACGATATTCAGATTTTCTACTAATCTACTCACGAGAATTGTATAGCATAATTACAAAATATTATCTACATTTAATTCGAAGAGAATTATCTCTGAATTTGGGGTAGATTGTGTTCATTACACCTTGTTGACCAATATTATTATCTCCAAGTATACTGTATAATAGTATAATTATAACTGCGTAGTGAAAATTTTAAACAAAGAAGTCTTAACAACATATGTGTTCGCAAATTAATCGTTGAATAAAATCGTAATTAAATCGTAATAAAATCGTCAATAGATGGTTCAAATTTTTATAAATGTCGAATAAAATGAAATGGTTAATTTTCGAATGTGTTAATAAGACTTGCCTGTCCTTTTTTATGGGTTGTATTAACCGTGATCAAGCGTGAACCTAAAATAATGAAATATGATTTATATTCAATAACGAAATTGATTATGTTCTGTGGATAATAATACGCGTCAAACCATAAGACTGTGTGAAATATTCATTGTGTAAAAACGAATAAAAACCATTTTGTATTTTGATTAAAATTGATTGGAAATGCACGAGATGATTATTAACGCACACAGAGCTATTTAGGTCATGATCATATTTTTACGTAACGTTTATGCACATTTATCTTAATTTTATTTGTTTGTGAATAATTGTGTTTGGTTATAATAATTGCAGTCATAAATTCAACAATTACACACGCATAATACTGTAATATAAATAATATAGTCGTACATATTTGTACTATTTAATTGTATATACGACACGAATAACTATAAATTATTTATCATAATTCATATATTGATAATCTGCTTTGTTTAATAGATAATCGCTATTAGCGTCGTCGATAAACAATAATTTTTATATGACCTTTTTATTTGCCATATTTTGATTGTTAACTGTAATTATTGGACAATTATTGACAAAGTACCCAAGAAAGAAATGATAGAATTATACTGTAGTATAGTTCACAGAAATCTGACTGTTACGAAAAAAAGTGTTCTTTGTTGGTATACATAATGTGAAGTTTATTTAGTTCGCAGTTGTTTTTTTTTACTATACGACATATCTGGTCAAATTATGCATTTAAAAATAAGAAAATAGAATGATATTTTATACATTGTATTAAGAAATAATGAATATTTTATACAACGTAAACAAGTTGTAAGATTTTATACTGTGTATAACTGCATCGAATATTTATGGATGTATATTGTTAAATTTTATCATCACCGCAATGTATCAATCATTTCTAGAAATGTTGCACTGTAGTTACATTGCATACATATAATATGAAAAATAAGTTATAGTTAATAGAATATTTTAATGCTTCAATAGCTTTGAGAAAAAAATAGTCTTCCTCTCGAACATCTTTCTACGTTAACATGAAACAGAAACAATTAATTATAACAATTGTGTGTCTTAAAAAAAAACAACGACTGATGATGTGCCTTGTGTCCTATAAACAATAACAATTTTGTAATGAAGATTTTTTTGAAAAGACTATACTTTTATTCAGAACACGTTATTAAATCTGTATATTCTTTCCACCCAAATTTAATGTTGTAAAACATTACTTATTTAATTGATTGTTTAATGTTTTGTGTACAAATATAGTTACATTTAAATGTAATCAATGTTAAATATTTGGTTTAAAAGGAAAAGTGTGTTTTTAAAATTATGTTTTAGAATAATTGGTGATTAAACCAATGTAATAAATCTATTAAAAAATTTGGTAAATCCAGCTGTTTTTACGCTGAATTAGGCAGTTTGATACACCATATTTTTAGTCCAAGTATAATAAGAGACATCACTGTCATTCTATTGATAGTGTAAATTATTAATAATAGATTACGGTGGTTAATAAGTTTTAACTCCTTTTTTATATTGTGAATGAAGTATAAAATTTTGTTATAAGTTAATCTTACTGATTCGCGGGATGGTTGTTTGATGTGTGTTGTATTATGCTCAATTTCTAAATTAATGCATAGAATTTATGAAAAGAAATAAGAATCGTGTAAAGGTGAGAAAAGTGTAAGCAATAAATATTGTAACAATAGCCATAATAAATAATGTATTAATGAAATATATTATTAATTTAACTGATAAATGAAGGTTTTACTGGATAAATTTTGTCTATTGACAGATTTTCTAATAAATACAAAATATCAAATGAAAACGGCAATATATATTTTCAGTACTATATAATAAATACAGAATATTTTATGTATTAATACAAATGAGGTAATATAACTGTAATTTCAGGAAACTGTAAATTATACTACATTTCACATTTTGTTGCATTTCAAACATGTTAATTGTTGCTTGTAGAACAAGGGATAAAATTAATCTTACTCTCCTTGAAAACTATCATAATATAAAAATGTATTGTGAACTCCATGACATTAGATCTAACAAGATGTTGACAAGTTTTAAGAAATAAGTGAAATGCTACATTCAAAGATTACATCTTTCATTTTTTACTGAGTTTTAAAAAGAAAGGTTTACAGACTTTGATAACATATACTATTCATCAAATTAAATTAGATATACTTAGTCTGTAATAATTTATAAAAACTATGTAGGTAGGGTTAAAAACGACATTTGGTTTATAGTAACATAAGTAACTTGTTTGCTTTCAGTCGTCACATATATGATTTTTAAACACAAAATTATTGTGCTGTAACTTCCTAATGTCTACAAAAATATTCTATATATTCTTCCGTTTCCATACATGCTTTGCATACACTTTCAAAAATTCTTGATTTTGTTCTAATTATATAACTTATACATGCAAAATTAATACAATAATAATTATTGGTAACAGTATTAACTAAATGCAATTGTTAATTAATTTATTTACTTTAAAATATTATAGCATTAGTTCTATTGCTGAAATTGAAAATTACTTCTAACTCTGATCAGACTATATTTTAGCCAAGTATCTCCCATGACATTTTTATCCATATTAAAATAACGTACTGTTTATCGACAAATGGAGTATTAATTAACTGTTAAAATAGTTCATATTGATAATGGTCTTGGTAAGTGCGAGCGCGTCTCACCAAAATAAAACTAGTAAAATTGTAAAACAGTTGTCTTATTTAAAAAAAAAACGATAAGCCTCAAAAGTTGCACTGTGAAAATTCATAAGCCAACTAATATACTCAGCCATTCAAAGTTTGTAACACCTTTTTGTATAAGACCCTGTGTACTGAAAATCTGTTTCTATGGATTTATGCCATCATTGTATTACATTCTTACATATGTATGCATCTCTTCTCATAATGTAATTTATATCAATTAATAGCATAATCAAATTTGTATCGTACATCCACTGAGTTCTATCTTCATAATTATTTTTGAACGAGTTCCTGTATCTTCTTGATCTTAGTGGTTCCATTCTTATAAAGAAAATTCAGAATATTTATAACATTACTAAATAGCATTAATTTTGTAACTTGAAATAAAAAAAAAAACAAAGATAAAAAGATTCAATCTCATAACACATTAACAGAATTTTTTATATATTACTTTTTAGGTCACTACCTAGAGATTTAAAAAAAGGCTCGTCTGTCTGAAATGTTCACTGTTCGTATGTACAATAAATGTCGTAGGAATTTCATATTGATCAATTAAATGCGACACTTACCCAAAAGCGACTAATGTTTTTATAATCGAACAACCACAAACATTATCGCTATTGTTTCAACCACGTTAACGAACTCTAGAACTCCTTATTGTTCTTGCTATCGTTTTCCATTCCTTTCTCAACTATTGTACAACGTGCTTGCTGTAGAAGCATCGGAAATTTTAATGCGATTATAACGCGATTTCACGAACGTTCAGAAAGGGAAAGAAATGAAACCAATAAAGCTCTGCACGCAGCGGTTCACTTCTTTAAATAACAATCATGTTTCTCGTGTTTCAGCCTCGGTCCGAAGGATCAACCCTCGGCTAGCGGTGGCGTGACCCAACCATACTTCTCATGGGTCTTCACTAGACTTCTGAAGGATTCTTCAGCGGAGCGTCTATTGAATTCTTTGTTTGCCTTTGGTTTCCTTGCCACGCGACCCTGAAAAGATAAACGCGTTTAAAGGACGAGATTTGAGTGAGTAAAATTGTAATAACTGTACACTTCCTTATGAGCTGCATAAGAAGGAATACCTTCATTGTAAAAAAATAGTCAATTTTTTCGCGTTTTTCTCAAGGCAGTATATCATAAGAATGCTGTTACAGATTTAAAAAATTAAATGAACCTTTGTAACATTTCAGCTATTACTTGTGAACTAGATTTTTTTAATAATAAATTATGATAATAATATATTAATATACATATATACATAAACTGTTTCTTGTTACATTTTTATCTTATTTTCTTTTATCCTTTCCATTTGTAATTTATATCTTGAATTTTAAGTTCTATAATGTTACGTTCTTTCTCTTCTGAGTTCTAATGTTATTCCAAAAATGTTCTACAGCAGGGCGACCTTATCGACCAAGTGTTCTACGTTACCGAGTCTTACCGACAGAGATTTCCATCTTACTCACCGGATACCCTCCGCTTCCTCCTTCGCCCAAGGTATAATATATCAATATCAAAGCTTAAAACTGGTCCTGTGTTTCAAATTGATCGCTTAAAAGAAACTAATACTTCACCTGTCCTTTAACGATGCTGGCGGCAAATTGCGTAATGACAGCTTCGATGGTGTACGCGCTAGCCCACCCCCTGGGTGTAAGGAGCTCCATACAGATAGCGCCGCCTTCCATCACGAATCCTTTCTCGATTCGAGGCGAAATAACGCGCATAAAGGGTGGTGCGAATGGAAAATTTTCCGGGAATACGATATGGAGAAGTATGTAAGGTATGTTGAGCTCTATCATGTCAGCCGCCAGTGCACTCTCTGGATCGATTTTGTGCAGTCTCACGTGCCACTCGAACAAATTGTCATTCACCAGCTCCGCGGTGAAGGTCGACTCGTGCCGGTGCTGCGTCCTCTGAATCTCGCTGAGCTCCTTCATTAGTCGCCGTAAACGAACCCTCTTGTCTGGTATTACAACAGCACCCTACACCAGATTTACAATTATTTGGTGTGGAACTGAATTCTGTGCCTAACTCTAGATATATTTACAGATATATTTACTTGTTAAACCTTCTAAATCCTCAACCTGGTCTCTATTTTAATGTGTCTATGTACAGTATCTAAGCTATCAAATTTTGCTTATTGTTACTTTTCTACCGTTACTGTAATACCTGTGTTGATTTGCCAGTACCAAATTTTGCTTATTGGAAAATTTCTACTATCTATTCTAATTAATTCTGTGCCTAATTCCAACATAAACAGATACATTTACTTGTTAAACCTTCTAAATCCTCAATCTGATCTCTATTTTAATGTGTCTATGTACAGTATCTAAACTATCAAGTTTTGCTTGTTGTTATTTTTCTACAATTACTGTAATACCTGAGTCGAGTTGCCAGTGGTTTTCTTGGATTTAAAGAAGCAACTTCCATGGTTTGAGTTGCTGGCGCCTGAATTCTCAGGTAACGCGCCATCAGATGGGGTAACTGCATCGGGACGATGATGCCGGCTCAGAAGCCTTCTCGAAGGAGAGCTTGTCGAACTGCTCGCCGCTTCCTGTTCCGAAATTTTTTCGGACGGTCTAAAAATTTTCCGAAAAGCGGCTACAACCTTCTCCTTTGATCTCGTAGACATGACTCAACAATCTCTTTTGTTGCTCTGTAATCATAATCATGGATCAAAATGAGTTTAGAATTTTAAACAAGCATCATCAATATAATTTTCAAGAAACATAGAAATATATAATTCGGTAATTAATTTTCACTTTACTTTTTAACTTGCTTCTATTTCAATTTTTTAATTATCATTTTTGTTCCAAACTTTATCATGCTATATCTATCATTCCTCAGGCTCAATTACTTGGGTCGATACCAAAAGAGTTAAATTTTAATTTGCGTTTACCCGCGGCTTTGCTCGCGTGAATGTCGATTTAAAAATGTTCAAGTTAAGTAATACATTCTTTAAACGATAACACTGAGACCGACTGACAAATAACAATCTCGACAATATCTCCCTTTTTACCTCTGTTAACTTTAATAGTTCTCTAAAAATCGAAAAATTTCTGGATGAACAATTTAACAAAATTAAAAATGCCTACCCTTGAAGATCACATTCGTAATTTTCTGTATTAACAATTAAAAACGAGATTTAAAAATACCTACCCTCGAAAATTGACTACGTATAGATCGCATTCGGTAGCTATTTAAATGACCCAAAGTCGCGAGTGAGAGTCGTCGGTATTGTTATGGAACATTGGTATTGTTTTCCTTTTGAAAATGAAATTTCAAGAAATTTCATTACGCGAGTCGCGATAATGCTGTATTTTACGAATGACAACGTTAAATCACTCGAGAACAGAGAAAACATCACCGCCGTGAAAGAAACATCCGAGAAAAGCTGCATAATGGTTCGGTGAACGTCACAGCAGCATCCGCAGCTGTTTAGTTTTATTTTTACTCTGAATCGCTCACCTTTTCCTGTGCGATGATTAAGGGTTCCTCCGTGAAGACGCGTCCAATTGCTTCCAAAACATTTTAATGACGGTAACGTACGACACTTAGTGTTTCAGGGGATAAATATAATCTGTGAAAAAGCTGTGCATCAGATGCGAGGATACGAGAGACGAAAGACGCACACAATAGAACACGGCGCAGTCTCCACCCTCATTGAACTGGTCGGGCGCGTAGTTCGGAAAGGGTTACTACCTTAGTTTATCAGGGCCGTGTTACGAATAAGTTGCTTTCACTCTCAAACGAGTCGTTAACGACAACGATTCGATCGGTTTTACTCCAAAAATTACAGGAAACATTTCGAGTAACTTTACATATGTATACACAAACTGTTTAGATTAGTTTGTCCCAAAAGTTTCTTTCGTAATTTGCACTCAATCATTTTGTGCGGTAGTGTTTATATAAATAGACAATCTAATTTCTTAGATGTTGATGTTGTAACAGTAATGGAGCAAAATGAATCATTACATTACAATCACAAACATACAATACATACATATAATACATTACAGTACAATCAAATCATTACATTACACAAAATGTTGTAACATTAGACATAATATATTGTGTATGTATTACTTATTAATAAAACGAAAGAAACTTTTGGGACAACCTGATACATGCTGTCCTGTATAAACAATCAGTAGATGTTTTCTTAGAAGTTAATGAAGATGTTAACTTCATTCTTGTTACAGAGTACAAGAGGGTTGCTCTTCTAGCGCGTATGATATGGTTTACGTTTTGTTCTGTTATTGATACAGTGGACTTGGTATTATTTTAATTTTGTACGATTTATTAAGACTGAAGCCATGAGTAATACCACGAGATAGTATATAATAATTGGGAATAATACGCGCGAAAGTTTTAAATCTAAAGCCCCTAATCTTCTTTAACTCTGCATTCAGAGCCATCTCGTTGTTAAGTATGCAAATAAGATTCGCGTCATGTTAAATAGTGTAACCATTAGCCGTTGTTATTATATATTATTATAAGTAGTATTTGTCATGTATTGTTTAATTGTAGCAAAAGTCGATATCTTCGCTAGGAATTTTTACAAACTGCGGCCCTGCTACGTCTACACAGGTTTAACAACTTATTATCGATCCAATTTACCCGCTGTCGAGTGATATTAGATTGTATATTACAGATTGTAACTGAGCGACCGTATTAGCATATTTTGAAAACGATAAGCTAGTTTGAAAAGTTGTCTATACTAGTGATTTTACCTATACAATATCTAGGCAAATACCTATACGAATCGCAAAACATAGATAAAAAATTAAAATAATTCAATAATATACTATGTATACTATTTATTTCTCCATGGGATAATCACATAACAGTTCAAATATCGATGTGAAAATAAAAAAACCAAAATATGTTTTGCAATGTAGGCGAAAACAAGAAGACATGATAAATATTGAACCCATGCCCACTTTAGTTCTTCCCAAATACTAGGTTGATAATAAATTAAATGTCCTCTATACATTATCTCTCCATGAACAATTACTACATCTTCGTTGGAATAACCCGTTCGACTTGTTACGTAATCATTGTTTATTTTTGCTGAAACTAAAATAAAATTTTGTAGGTTTTTCTCTTAAATTTAGTCTCTTACTTTTAATTTTGGTAAGCAATATAAAGAATTGTTACTAACGTTTTCTGTTGGCATTTTTCATAAGTAACTCTTCCAGCGAATGATCATCTATTTCTATACTGTTATTATATGTTTCGTATAAGCCTTTGTCATTAAAAAGACCCTTCTGCTCTAACATTAAATCTCCAAAAAACTGGAGCTGTTGAATTTCTTCGTTTAATACATGATTAAATACTGCAATGGATTCTATTGTCGCTTGGAATAATTGCTGCAACAAATCACTAATATTAACATCTCAGAATGAGAACAAAAAACAAATATAAAAATAAATAACACATATGAAACATAGAAATATAAAGAATAAAGATGCAACAATAGAATTTCACCTTTAGTCTAAAATTAAAGAAAAGCAAAAGCTTAAGAGACTTGATTGGCTTATCTGTATAAAAATGAGCCTCAAATTTTAATATATCCTTTTTACCATCGCTATTTGTATCTATTTCTTGCACCTAAAATTTTAACAATTTTGTAATTATATGATTAAAACAAAATAATTAATTCAATGCATATGGCACAACAGTTTGTCAATTAAATATTAGAATGGTATAACAATAAAACCTTTACTAATATGCAGTCGTCTGCAAGTTTATTATTTTTGTAAGTTGTAAATGTCGAACAAATGATTGGATTAATGTTATACTCCCTGTAAGCTAATAATAAATATTTGTAGCTAAACAGTACATCAGGAGTTTCTGCATATACACGATTTTTCAAAGAGAAACCTGAAAAATATGGACACTAATAATAACGTAAAATCAGTAGAAAAGTTATGTTTGAAATATGTAAAATTCTTACGTCGCTCTAATATCCGTCGTAATGTGTTTTTGTTTACAAAATTACAAAGTGAACATGAGAAGAAACAAAGAATACATACCTCCCGCATTGTAAATAATGAAAAAGGGTGTAAACAATGATAGTATTCCAAAAAGTAATACGATAAGGAAACTTATCGAACATATATTACTTTTATATTTATAATCGACAGTACTTGAAAATATTTCAATGGCGGCCATTATGACGCGTTATTGATCGTTGTCCTGGCAACGACCACCAAAATAAAGTAAGGTTCTGAGACATTTTGTAGGAAATACAAGAAATTAATAAGGCGTATTATTTATTACATATTAAAAGGTATAAAGTAAATATATTAGATGCATCCAGAAAGGTCACCGCTCACTAAACTGCTCTGTGAGCGGATTTTAATACCAGTGGCGCCATCGGTGGGAAAACGCCCAAGTTTGCAGTGAAAACAGTTCTCACCGTTTCTGTAAGATGGCGCCACCAATATCTTTAATTAATTATTCATTACTTTTAATAAACGCATACTTAATACGATCTTTGCTGTATAACACTAGGATACATTAGTTAATATGCCAAACTTT